ACCCCCCCCCCCTCTCGCGCCCTTGAAAATTCACAAGAAAATCTCGGGATTCGCATTTCCAGTCAATTCAATCGCGTCTGACATCTAGACGTTATAGAAATTTCTACGTTACCTACTCGACTAGTCGACTACCTACTTTATCGACCGAGCAGCCTTTTCGCAATACCGTGGGAAAATTCTTCTGAAGTCCTATGCAGACAGGCAAAAAAAAGGAGGTACGGAGCGTAGAGGTCGAAGGGCAGGAACCTCCGAGAAACTTCACAGACTCGTGGATCAAGTGCCATCGTACTCCTATCGTCGTTTTCTCATTGACGGAAGAAATCCGAGAGTCTTCAAGAAACGCAAGCGATAAAAGCAGAGAGAGAGAGATCGAATGAAATAGAAAATAAAAGTCACGCGGAATGCAATAATAAAAGGGAAAGTCAAAGAAATTTAATTCTCTTGAAAATTCTTCATCTTTTCTCTTTCGTCTCCTACATTTTCTCAAGTGACATTATTGTTCCGCGTGAAACTTTCGATACATCGCTGTATCATCGATTTTCCTTTACATCGTATTATCGTCACGCGTATCAAATTTAAAAGAAAAGCCTGAAATTCTTCTTGACGTTCCACGAGAAGAAGTGTGAAAATATCAAATCAACTGCGCCGACTGTTCCTGTTACGCCCGTGGTGCATTGATACGGCTGTCAGTCGCGCTGTCACTGAATACCACGTGTACCCTTTGCACCACGTGCAGGAGTTCTCCTCCTGCATTATTACGAGATAACCCAGCGACGCGATATTGAAAACAGACTCGGGAGAAAGAGAGAGAAAATAAATAATCTCGGCGGGTCAGTACGACCGCATACGTAGGAAGGAGTGAGAGCACGCGTTATCACGGATTTTGAAGATTAGAAAAAACAAAATTAAACACCCCACCAAGAACCACTCATAAACCTTTTGTAATTTTAGATTAAAGTTCCCGCTGGGAATTCTCACCTACCTTTCCAGCCATATAACGCGTTTTACGAACTCTCTTTTATTTTATTTCTGCATCCACCCCCCCTCCCCCCTCTCTTTATCTCACACACCCCCTTTTCACTGTTCAAGTTTTCTCCTCTCTTTCTCCTTCCTATCCTGCCTTTTAACGTCAACTCTGAGCACTTTTGCTTTTTCCGCCCCGATTCATTTCCGGCAAAAGGCACTTCCTGTCCCCCCCAGGTCGGTGAGAATTTTTGGCCACGTTGGAGAAGATGCCACTTTATGCCAATTCTCTGGCGCATCGTGCAATGGACCGTGTCACGAAGTATTTTGACATATCGAAGAAACTTGGCTGCGTCTGTATATACGTATGCGGGTCTTATATTTGTCCGATGTCAGCGGGGATGTTAGGTTAGGTTAGGAACGCATCTTCGCAATTAATAGTCAACCCTTCCGCGATCTGAGAACAAGACCCAGTGTGTAGAGTTTAGTGTATACCCGCGTGAGATTGAAGATTTGTTTTTTTTATCTCTGATAAGCCACCCTCACACACGTTGGGGTAGTAGAAATCATTAATGGCGTCTTGACGAGGATAGTAATCGGGATAAGTTTTCCTCCGCTCGACTCCAAGGGCCAATATTACAGGATGTGACGAAGCATAAAGGATGCTGCATAGGCTATTATGGCCAGGGTAAAAGCGTCGCGACGCCAAACATGTATCCTAATGCAAGTGGGTTAAGATCGATGAACGTACAAGGTTGGAAGGTGGGTGAGCCTCGTCCACTTTTTTTTTTTTTTTTTTAATAAAAAAATGGAACCTCAAACACCCGAGCGAAGTCACGCGATCCTAACCTGCGAGCGATCGATAGGCCCTACGCAGCTGAAACGGCACGGCCTTCGATAATTGGCCTGTCCAGTTAGGCCATTTTTCACTGATACCGGGAAAACGTGAAAATACCGAAATACAAGGGAAATTCAATTCTCCACCATAATTCCCGGAAATGGACACACGCGGTGCTGATCTGCGTGATTGACGGACATCAATCACATCGATACTCCCACGTGTTTCCCGTGAGCGTCCCGATACGTGGAATTCGAGGTTCTCATTGATCCTCGATCGATCGATGATTCATCGATCGGATCTCTTGGGGTCATATAGAATTGGGTAAAATCATTGAGAATCCTCTTAACACCGTGATAAAACAATATTTGATAAAATGATTAGCACGTGGCGACTTTCGATGTCCTCAATTTTACCGATACGCCCCCCCCCC